AGTTGAATGAGTATTAACTATTTCCTTTAAAAAGCCTTCTCTTCCATTTCCTGTTCAGCTAGGATAAACATATCCAGTATATCAATAGGTTTAATTAAGTAGGATACTTACTAAGTTAGCAAGATGAACAGAGACGTGACGGTATCTTCCACTGGAAATTATTAATACATAAGGAATATCCCACAAGACTGCAAGCATCTTGAAGCACTACACTTCCAACAGTTTCCTTCTAGATATCTGGAGAGTATTTTAGTTCCCTTCTACCTGTGTAAGCAATCCTCCATCTTAAGAAAACCCCAGGTCTGTGCCCTTAAAAATGAGATGCACTTTTCATGTCACTCAAGCAACATGTAAATAGCTGCCTAGATAAACCATTTTCCATAACAGGCTCTAAGTCAATCTCCAAGGAAGAATCACAAAGCATCCTAAAAGGTTGGTTTCAAGGGAAAGCCAGTATAGCTTACTCACAAATATCTCTGCAAATGAAGAATGAATAAATGAAATCCAAAGATAATCCTCCAACCTAATTTTAGTTTTCAGTTCCTGACTTATCTTCCCAGCAAACCCTTTCCAAGACTTGGCAAGCAGGCCACAGAGTAAGAAAAGTAAAGATTTCTGGTATTCCCCAGGTTATTACTACCTCTGCTTTTCTAAAAGAATAAACAACTAATTTACAGCAGTGCTAGTAAACAACTAAAACTGACCATCAGAGAGCAAAACCCTAAAAAACAAACATAATTCACAAACTAAATAACCAAGAGCTATTTGTACCAGGTCATACATAAAAAGAATTGCTTCTTAGCAGCTACCACTTAACAGTCCCACCCACGCCATTCCAGTCCCTCTAAATGGTGGTACTTGTTGGTCACCAGAAACCTAGTATCTTTTCATTTGAGAAAACTGTCCTTTTCTGATCCTCTTTCCTGAACTATTCACTAAAGGCCTAGTGACAGACTTCCTTTAAGTCTGTCTCAGGACAACCTGGATCCTATTTTCCTCTTTAACATACTAGGAATAAATTATTACAGTCAAATTTTTAAAAATCTCACAAGCTAAAAGACCACCACCAAAGAGCTCCTATATTCTAGTAGAAAGTATCTGAGAGAGCTATGGCTTCAAAAATCTGTAAGCTTTAAAGAACAGACAGCCCGTACGCAACAACAGCCCTCAATATGAAACCCAAGATCCATCCAAATCTGTCCTTGGCCATCACTAAAAAATGTGTGGCATTTTCCTGGAACCAGGCGAGAAGGGCACTCCAGATGTAAGGTAACTACATTCACTAACCTCAGTTATCCTCTACTGTTTCAGTTGCCTAAGTGTTTCCCTGCTTTGCTGGATGTAGCTAACACACCACATTCCCAAGAGACAAGAGAATATACATTATTACTAGACTCATCTAGAAGGAAAAGTTTCTACCACAGTAATTCAAGGAAAAAGCAGCTACTAAAACCAAAGACATAATGTACTCATCCAACACTTATTAGGCACCTACTATGTGCCAGGCTCTGTACACTCAATAGGGAACAAAACAGATATAGTTCCCATTCTTGGAGAATAAAGTGGTAAGACAGACATTAGACAAATAAATAACATAGGATTATAATTTTAAAAAGGCTATGAAGATGAACCCAGCAGGTGGCATTAGTGATTAAGGCGCTGAACTCCCACATGGCTACCCGCGGTTCGAGTCCTGGACCTGGTGGCTTAAAACTCATTAGGTGGGGAGAGGCTGGCAGGTGGCATGGTGGTTAAGGCACAGGACTCCCACATGGCTGACCATAGTTCAAGTCCTGGACCTGGAGACTTGCTTTCTCACTCTCTCTCTCTCTCTCTGCCTCTGTCACTCTCTGCTCAAACTGAATACTACTACTACTAATAATAAATAAAATTAAATAATTTAAAAAAAAAAAAAAGAAAAGAAAACTCATGCCAGGAGCGTATGCATGCATACCCAAAATCCTAAAAGGAGAACAGAGGAGAAGGGATTATGGCACGGTCATCCTCCATGGGAGGTGATTTCTCTCTCTCAGTGTTTCTGTCTCTACAGTGAGCGCACCTGCCCTATAGCAAAACATTTCTTTCTTTCTCAAAAAAAATAAGGGCTATGAATAAAGTAACCATAGGTCCCAATTTGCACAGGACCCACAAATTATACCTGTTGTCCCAATGGCTGTAAAAGCACCCTTTTTTATTCTCAAATATGTCCTAGGTTGGACTATAAATTAGATGATCACCTAGCTGTGAAGAGCAAGGTGCGACAAGAAAGAATAGTAGTGGCAAATGACTTTAGCTTAAGTGATGATTAAAGACAACTGCTTTGAAGAGATGCCCTATAATTGAGTACAGATGGACAAGGTGCCAATCGTTCTGGAATGAAGTGTTCCAAGGACAGGGCTTAAAGCATTATTATTAATGATCAGCATGAATTTTGGCTGACTGAAGTGAAGAGTCAAAAAAGTGAGTTAGGGGTTTCCAGACATCAATTTGTACATATAAGATTAAATTATTCTCGGGAACCAGTAGTTAGCATAATGGCTATGTCGCTGGACTCCCACGTAGTCGACCACGGTTCGCGTCCCAGACCCAGTGGCTTAAAACTCACGCCAGGCGCGTGTGCGTGTGTACCCAAGATCCCGAGAGGAGAATGGAGGAGAAGGGATTGTGGGTTGACCAGCCCCCCGGGGGGTGATTTCCGCTTTCTTTCTCTATGTCTCTGTCTGTCTGGCGAGCGCACGTGCCCTATAGCAAAAACCTCTCAAAAAAAAAAAAAAGATTAAATTATTCTAAGCATCTAGTTGTGTCAGATCTCAAAATTCAAACATCAAGACAAAAACGAAACTCAAAGTGGCTGTTCAAACTTCGGTAGGTCATAAATCCTGAGATTCTGAAAAATACTCCAGATCTCCATCCAGGAAACACATATATTCATGTTCATACACATTCACATCCACACAATTTCTGGAGATCCATGGGTGATACCCCACCCAACCCCACCAACAGAAACTTACACATGGACTTCAGGTTTAGAGGGGCGAAAAAGCCCCTTTCACAAAAGGCAAAAGCAAGCTTTCAACTCTACCTGGGCTTTTAGGTTTCGTAAGAGTCACTGAGGATATCCAGGAACAAAAAGAAAAACTAACTGGACATTTAAAAACAAAAAACAAAACAAAAAAAAGGCAATTATAAGTCAATTAAAAATAGACAATGGACAATGTCTATGTCACCAAGAATTAATGAGATTATCTTTCCCATCATTTTTGAGAGCCAGACCTGCCCTTGAATCCTTACCTTACTAACATTGAGTGAAGCTAGGGGAGGAGGGGTTTCTGTTCGGTCATTAATTATTTCCACTTCTGAAACATATTGTAAGTTTATGAGCAAGATGTCTGCATGGTTGGGCTTTCCACTGGAAGAGGGACATTCTGGTGAGAAAATAAAGTTAAGGAAAATAGAGCAAACAGAGGCACTGACACAACTGAAAAGGGGTACAGAAAACATGATTCACACGAGCCTGTATAAAAGATATGCCACAAGCGAGAGGGCCTCAGAACAATCACGGCTCTCCTCAGGAGACCTCTGCCTGTCCCTTCCTCCCACCCCAACCCACAACCAAAAGATCTCAACTTTTTCAAACCCAAACATGACCCAAAATTGGAAGCCTTGAAACAGTTTCTGTCCTCTCTCCCAGTTTTATGGAAAGGCACAATGCAGTTTTAATGCCTTGCATATTCTGTCTTGAACTTATGAACCACATAGAAGAGCCAGTACTTTCCGTTCTTGGTAGAATACTTGGTAGAAAATTCCCTATATCTGTACAGTGCTTTTTTTACTTTTTTAAATTTAAGATTTCCCACTTTGCAGAGGAAAAAACTACAGTACTGGAAAGGAAACTGGCCCAAGGTGACCCAGCAAGTTAATCCATCCATTCATTCCCTCGCTCTCTAACCATTTACTTAAGAGTCTGCTCTGGGCCAATTAAAAGTAGAGTAATCCCTCATTTCAAGACCCTTCCAACAAGCCACTAATGTAAAAGGTCTTACGTGGTCCTGGTGTGACCTCTTGTTAAAAAAAAGGCAACTGTCTTGCTATAATTAATTTCAGGGCCATCTTCCTAAGCTAGAAATCTACAACCAGTGGTTAAATGAATTAAAATACTTGCCATTCAAAGGCAACACTCAGTAGGAAACCCTGTTTTGAAAGCTGCCTTAAAGGATTACTTCTCAAAAAAATATATCCACATAAACCCACCTGTAGCTCAAATAATAGAAGGACTTACTTCAACCAGGAAGTGTTTTGTTTTCAAGACTGAATTTCTTGGAGTAATTCAGAAATCACTTCCACACCAAAGAAGCAAGCCACCTTTCCCACTCGGTTTAACTCTGCTACTTTTTAAAAGGAGGCTACTACTGTGGTAAAGTCAGGACTCCATGTGCTGGACTGGGCAAGAGAAAATGAGAACTTACTCTTTCACCTGTAACCCATTCGCCCCTGAAAACATAGCAAGCCAAGCCCTCTCTGGGCCAGCATTCCAAAACAACAATTTCCAAATGACTGAGAAGCTAAAAATCAGTACACTCTCCCCTCAACTGCATCACGCAGACACATGCACCAACAAAACATGCCACTATCCCCAGTTTAGACACAAAACTCTGCCCTGCAGTTACTCTCCCCCCAAACAGGCAAGATCCATTTGGTCACCGCTCCGCCACCCTTTCTTGGACCAAGTCCCAACGACAGACACCTCCTCCTAAATTCCATACCCTTGCCCTACTAACAGTTCTTTACCCTACACACCCCCTCCCCATGATTTTACCCGCCCCCCTTTCCATCCGGGCTCCAATCCACCAGCCCCCTCCCACCACACCCACTCCTAATCACAGTGGGCTCCAATCCACCAGCCCCCTCCCACCACACTCTCTCCTAATCACAGAATCCTCTCTCATAGCGTTCCCCCCAAAAGGCCATCCGCGTGTCAAGCCCCCACTCCACCCACAGACCCTCGGTTGAGGCTCGGCTCCCGCAAGGGGTGGGAGACAGGGTCCCCAAAGCTGACCGAAGGGCCCGCGAAAGGGGGAGGGGAGCGCAGGGCCGTGCGCATGCGCCCCCCGCGCCGCGGTACTTACTGACATTGAGTGAAGCTAGGGGAGGAGGGGTTTCTGTTCGGTCATTAATTATTTCCACTTCTGAAACATATTGTAAGTTTATGAGCAAGATGTCTGCATGGTTGGGCTTTCTACTGGAAGAGGGACATTTTAAAGCCAGCATTTTGGATTGGTAGTCGAAGGCTACCACCTCGCCCTGCAGCTGCTGCTCCTGGCACGTCCGGCAGGACACCTGGCTCCCAACACTGAAGTACTCGCCCGGAGGAGCCGCCATCTTGGGAGAGCAGCCGCGGCCGGCGGCGGCGGCGGCAGCAGCGGGCGAAAGCCGGGCCCCCAGTGAGCGCCGCGACGCGACGCACGGGGCGTGTTGACGTCACGCGCCTGGGCGTGGCTTAGTGCTGGGTGGGGCGGGAGCCAAGGTGGAAGAGGAAAGAAGAGGAAATAAAGGGGAATCTGGAAAATGTTTGTGAAGCGTCACCCGCTTGGTTAAGTGCTTGTAGGGTCCATTTTAGAAGTTAAAGACAAATTACATACGTGGAAAAAAAGGGAGAAAGAGGACGGAGTTATAGTTTCCATTATGTGCACACTTTGCACACGAGAGTTTAATGAATGAACTCTATATAAAATGACATGTATTCTCTCCATTTTACATATGAGGAATCAGAGGCCCAGAGGACTTGATCTAAACTTACCTAAGATGATTTTAACTAATTTCAAAGTGGTAGTGACAAGAACATTGGCTGTAGAGTTAGATAAACCAGAATCAGAGTCCCAGGTTTGCCACTTACTAAATTAGGTGACCTTGAGCAAATTACTAAACCTGATCCTGTTTATTAATTCGGATCTGTATGATCACTATTGAGCATCCAACAACCCTTTGATGTGGGAATCGAAATCTTTTTTACAGATGAAAAAACCTAAGTCTTAGACTAATCTCATCTATGGTAGCACAACTAGCAAGGATGCAGTCAGCCGGTTTCCAAAGACAGTGCTATTTACTGCTACATGAGTACTACATTAGATCATACCTACCTCATAGTTAGGAGGTTTAAATGAGATAATTGGTAAATTCACATCATGTAGTACATCTTTAATTATAGTAGTTCCCCCATGATCACCCACTACCCTTGGAACACAAGATACTTTCCCATCTCTCTCCTTGCCCCGTTCTCTAGAAAACCAAACAAAAGGCAGGAATGAGGAGCAGTGATAGTGACAAAAGGAACTTTGGAGGAGAGATTCTGAGCCCCTATTAATGTCCATCTGATATACCAAACAGTTGTTTTGGAGGGGTTTTTTTAGAATTATTTTATTCAACTTTATTTATTTATTTCAATTTGACCAGAGAGAGACAAGAGAGAAAGCAAGCTGCCAGGTCCAGGACTCGAACTGTGGTCGGCTATGTGGGAGTCCAGCACCCTTAATCACACTACCTGCTGGCCCCCAAACAGTTGTTTTCTTTTTTGAGAGATTTTTGCTATAGGGTGCGTGCACTTGCCAGAAAGACAGAGACAGAGAGACACAGAGAGACAGAAAGTGAGAAATCACCTCCCAGGGGGATGGCCATGCCACAATCTTTTCTCCTCCATTCTCCTCTCGGAATCTTGGGCACACACACACTCGCGCCAAGCGTTAGTTTCAGCCACCAGGTCTGGGACTCGCATGGCGGTCGACTACATAGGAATCCAGCGATGTAGCCATTATGCCAACTGCTAGTCCACAGTTGTTTTCTTAACCTTATCTAAGGTACTATGCATTTTCATACCAACCTCAACTAATTACTATCCCTAACCCAATCACCCCTCAATACAGAAAATTTGGGAGTGGTGTATAGGAAACAGGTTGACCTTTCTTTGATTCAGAGGAAGGCAAAGGGCCAGCCTTGGACCTGCTTAACCTGAATAAAGTTAAAAGCAAAAGTGTTTCCTTGAACTGTGAGAGGCATAAACTTCCAGTAGTGGTAAAAATCTGTGATAGGAATGAAAATTGTGCTCCTTCATACTTGTGCGTTTTCAGAGAATTTTCATGTTTCTCATCTTTGTTCTGGCTCCCATAACAAGTCATATGTAACTGCCACTCCACTTGTTATATAGCATTATGATTACAGACGTCATGTATGACTTCTAGGGACTTTTAGGAAAAGCTTTCTGGAGGAAGCAAAATAGCTGAGGTATGAAGGATCAGCAAGCAAAGAGAGGGTGGTTATGTTCTAGGCAGAAGGAACTCCATGTTGTAGGAATACAAGGATAGAGTTTGGTGATTTGAAGAAACATAAAGGAGCTCAGGAATATTGCGAAGCAGAGCGCGTAGACTGTTGAAGGTTGAGGCTACAGCCAAAGTAAACTTTCAAAGACTAGCTAAGAAATTTAAGCTTTCACCTTAGGGCAATTGAAAAGCATTTAACAAGGGAGTGGACTGGAATTTATAACCAGCTTTCTTCTGGCACATCTTTTTATTTATGTATTTTTAAAGATTTATTTATTTATTTATTTAATTCCATTTGCTATTATTATTTTTTAATTTGACTAGAAAGAGACAGAGAAAGGGAAAGTGAGAAAGCAAGCCACCAGGTCCAAGACTTGAACTGTGGTCCGCCTTATGGGAATCCAGTGCCCCCAACCACCATGCCACCTGCCGGCCCTACCTCACACCTTTTTAATTAGTGGAATTAATGTCTTTCCAAGAAGAACCCAGATTTACACTCTCATTTTCATCCACCCATCAAGAAACTCTTCAAGAACAAAGGCTAGAGGTAAGAAGACAATGAGGAGCCACATCCATAATCTTCCCTAACCCACCTCTGCCTCTAGGCAGGAACTCTCCTAAACAGCTGAGACTTCTATTTTCTGCACTGTGTCCCTTCAAATGATTATTCCAAACTTTGCTGTGGGAGTGAGTCCTTCCTCTCTCCATTACGGACACTGTTACCATCTCTTGATTTTATGTACCCAATGGGGTAGATAAATCTTTTCCAGGAGGGAAAAGAGGGCAAGGCAAAGTTCGAGTTGGAAGAAAGTGTGACTTTGTACTATATATAGGAATTCGGAAGTCTTAGAGAAGGCCCTTTCAAATCAAGAGGCTTATCTGCCCAGCCTCCAAATAAACTGCGGATGAATTAGGGCGGGAGCGTCTTGGCTGGAAGAAGATGGACGGATTAGCGGCGATTGCAAATTTACCTTCAGCTCCCCAAGGAGAGGGTGTCCATAACCTCTCCAGGAGAGCTCAGATTTTTTTATTTTTTAAAATAGCGGTACTGGAGAAGAAAGATCAGAAGTCTGGAAGAGATCCTAGCGATCATACATCCGCCTTCGTAACAGCAGAGCATAGAACTTGGGCACGTCGCCGCTCCGCGGGTTAGTCCATCCCCTGACCCGGAACAGCAGCCTGTGCCGCCACAACGCCGGCTGGGGCCCCGCCACACCGCCGGCTGCCCACGTGCCAGCAACAGCGGCCACGTGGGGCCTGAAGAAACGCCTTCGAAAAGGTTTGTCCCCTGCGCTGTCCAGTAGAGAGGAAGACCCGGGCGCGGGAGGAAACCGTACCGGCTAGCAGCTCGACTAGCGCGCCAGCTACCGCCTGGGGGCGGGGGCGGGGCTGGGGAGGGGCGGAACTTAATGTAGACAGCTGGTTGGGGGCGGAGCCTGGGCTTGGGAAGGTGGGCTTGTAAATCGCCGGGGGGAGGCGTT